CATACACTTCTCTCCCTGCAAGAGAACAGTGAAAGAGCACACGGCAGATATTAGCTGTATCACTTCATTTACTACTGCAGGATGATCAGACAGCAGTGATGAACACACAGTAAGAGTCTATACAATAGAAGAAACAACTTGAGCAAGTTGGTGTATTTTATAGCACTCAGAACAGCATCCTTTTACACAGACAGCAATGCTCAACTTTTCCAACAGCTGACCTGCCACTTTGATAGTATTAGGAAACACATAATTTTCTTAAGAGTCAGAATGCATATTTTCCCTATTCATTCCCACCCAGAGTTGTGGTCTGAAAATACCAGCCTTTTAAGTAGCACAATGAGAATTTTTTTTTTAAATACATAGAAAAAGCAAAAGAGGACAAGATGGAAATTATATTTCCTGCACATTTATCACATGGTTACATTCACCTCATAGAAATTCAGCCTTAGCATTCAATAGAGATGCTTAGTGTCAAGGAAAGGCTTATAAAGTCATGTCTGAGCATGTATCACACCCTTGTTCCTTCTAACAAGTCACAGCATCTTTATGACACCCTTTCAGAAGGGCATCCTCAATTCCCTTTGGTAATTTCCTACCTTACATTCAAAATGTCCATTTCCCCCAAGGACAGTCTGATGCTGAGTTTGGAGGACATAATGAAATCACTATGGTTAGGATATTAGTACCTACACTTGCATCAGAAATTCACTTCCTTTTAGATGCATACAATGTCAGTTAAAATTCCACTTCTGTACATGAAAGGTGTAGATGAAATACGTACTGATGCTGAAGAACAAAGCACCTCATTAGCTCTCCGAGCACAGTGCACTGCAGTTTGTCATTATCCAATGCATTCCTTGCAAGCCACTGGGTGGGGGATATGACAATCCCTGAGGCTGCATTGCAGAGAAATATTATCGACATCCAAGCAATACCAGAAACAGGGTATTGCCCAAAATTATTTGTCATTGGCATCTCCTTTAATATTAGAGGTGGAGGGCAAATGGAACAAACAAACAAAAAAGCACTGGTGAAGTGTAGGAATATTACCTTTGAGTTAATTTATTGATAAAAGCCACTTATGAGACACCTCTCTGCCTTATCTAGGGCCACAACCCCACAGATAGCATATCCTAGGATAAGGTTATCCTATCCTAGGATAGGATAAGGCACCAACATGTTGCAATGTGAATTTCTCGCTGTTAATAGGGAGTTCAACAAAACAGTAATAGCAAGAGAAAAAATAAATTACTATTGTAGTTTATAAAGCATTTTAATATGACTTTTGTTCAACTGTGACTGTTCTAAAAATGGTAAAATTTTATCTGCTGTACATGAGGGGTTTCTGAAATGAGGCCCACAGAGTCTTTGTAAATAGCTGCAAAGTGATGTCGGTAACTGCAGCACCGATCAGGACAATCCTCGGTGCTGCAGTGGCAACAAGATTTCTTGCAGATGAGCTGAGAGTGGATTCAAGAAATGGGTATTCAGGGACTGAAGCTATTAACCTGACTCCAGAGTCTCCTACAGCTGTGCACGTTACAGACTAATTCCTCCTCTAGCCCTACCTGCTACTGTGAACTGGAATAAACACCCTCTGCAGGGTTCATTCTAAATGTGTCATGTCACCCTCCAAAATCTGGAAACCTGCAAAGCTATTCTGCTATATATCAATTGTCTAGGAGTCGGCACATAAAGGAATCCACCAGCACTGCAACAGGGGATTAATATTCCAGTGCTTTTGCCACAGGAATTCAACAGTTGGATTTCCTGGGTAACCTTGAATAAGCTACATTCTCCTGTCCCTCAGCTGTCATGTGGGATAGCACATCCTCCACTTGTAGGCGTGCCGAGAGGCATTAGTGCTCCCGATACTGAGATACTGACAGCCCCATGTGGCCAAGCACAAATATCATGGGAGCACCACAGAATACTCTAGTCCTCTGTGTACAACACAGTACTTATTTGTAAACTACCCTTCTTTCAAATACTGCTATAATTATTTATCAATCCAGTCTCATTTTTGTCTATTTATTCTGCCACTTTCTGCTGTGCTCTAGAGGCTTCTGTATATAATCAAGCCACAAACATGTTTTGCTTTGTTTTAAATTTTGTTTAATAATTGTTTCCTGACTAGCTTTAAACAAAACTAATCTCCCATACACACAGACATGTATGCACAAAGAAACCACTGTTAGGTCTAATTTTTTTTTTTTTAAAGGACTGTTCAGCTATTAAATGTTGTAAGTAAAGTCATTGCAAAAGAAACCGAAGCATCACAAGGCACAGAAACGCAGAAATCATGCCTCTTTGGCACAGAAAATGCCCACCTCTGAACTTAATTTCCTACCAAGAGGAGAGTTCAAACAACGTATTTTTCCCTCACGCAACCTATTTGTGAAATCCTCAGGTGTCTGGAAGTTCTGGAGGTCGAGTGGGAAGGATGAGCTAGAGTGAAAGAAGTGACCCACAAATCTGTAACATCTTACCCGGTGAGTCAGGCAGGCACAGATGACAACCACGCCCTGCTTCCCAAGAGCCTTGCCCACATATTGTGCCTCGAACCTGGCAAGGAGGGCCTGCAGCCCAGCGTGGCAAACACACGAGGCTGAGGACGAGCTGCCTCAGGGCTGGATGTTACACAGACTGACAGGCAAGCTCATCAGGACACAATTCACTCTCCTAAAACTTGAACTATTCACAACACAAAAGAAAAAGGATGGTTTCAGGACAAGGAAACCTTTTCCTTGTTTCCTAACAAGGAAACACTTTTTTCAAGCATCCCACTGCCATAACGGTTCTTCTCTCTCTGTTTTTTTGGGCTACCAGAAGGCCAGTCCCCCTCTTGAGCATTGTAAGTAACTTGCTCATTGCTGGCTGAAGTTAATACCATTTCCATAGACATCTGTGACCCCAAGATTTCTCCCCTTGCTCTTTCGTGACACTAGGGGCACAGGAAGAGGATTTCCTAACAACGAGCCAGAAAAACAGTTACAAACTGAAGCCAAACAGCAAATCAAACTCTGATCTCCCTTCCCCTGCCCATCTTTTGCCTTTTAATTTTTCTTTAATTAGTAAGCACAGCCAAAATAGACCTTTTCCTTGTTTTAATTTGCTTATTTCTTTGTTTCTGACAGAAGAAATACGTCCTTCCTGCAGGAGAACCAATTCCACTCTTCTATAAATAAAATCCACTTGTGTAGATAGAAGTTCCTTTGAGAAGTTTCCTAATACAACTAATTTTAAAAATGGAAGACTAGAAGAGCCAGAAGCAAAACTTTCTTGTCTCTCAAAGGTATTGACAAGCAAAGACATTTATTTGGATAAGTTTTCAAAGGAACATTTAGGGGATGTGAAGCCACTACTTATTTTATGTGAAGCACAGTAGTTGACAAGTATAGGGTTAAACCTATCAGTAATCTAGCAAAGCAGAGTAAAGATAAATTTGCTAAAGTGCACAGTGAGACACTGTTAACCAAACATTGTTCTTTCCTAAATAAATGCTCACATACAAAAATGTATCACCTATTGCTGTGCTGTGTAAGCAGGTTTAAATCCTGAACAGCCCGGTGATTTACAGATGCCTGGGTTATAGAAGAGAAAGAGCACAGATGGCTCTTGTCAGCACTATAGAAGGGTTTGGCAAAAGACCTGAGAAGACAGGGAAGCTGCTAAGGATGAGCTGAACATACTGGTGGCCCTTTCATACCATACCTGAATTGTGAACTACAATTGTGAATTAGTCCGAGTCCATGTAAGTTCTTGAATTTCACAGAAATGTTTAGTATCTTACCATTTTAACTGTATAGTCTTGATTTTAAAAGTTGACTTTGTATTTCACAGGGAAAAAAAAGAGAATTGTTCATTTCCGATGACAATTGTGCACACACACACACAAAAACCTATATACATGTCTCTTTCTGCTTTGTATGAAGGATTTGATGTGTGAAACGTGACCATCCCAAACTCTGCTAAGAAATAGCACAAACTAGACAATTGCAATTGTACATTACAGAAAGTGAAAAAAATCAGTGTCAGGCACACGGAATAGGTATTCACAGTGAAACAAAAAGAAAATGAATGGCCCTCAGTCTATGGACTGATGATAGGTTTGCCATGATTGTTTTTTCCCCCAGGAGATTATGTCTCTCAAGAGGTGACATCCACTTAAGGGACAATGAACCACTATTTATATAAATGTCCATCAAGGAAACTCTCTAAACAATTGCAAATATTGACCGACATGCAGCAGATTAATTTGGCTTCACTGTCATCGAGATATATTGTAGACAGCTATTGTGGAATGGCAGATCTTTTACATTCATACTTGACACATCACAATTGAACATGGAATTTCCATCAACAACAAAAGAAGCGTTTAATAGTCACTTTGCTTCCCTAACAGAGACATATGCCTTCCTAATAATATAAAGACAAGCAGGATTTTTTCTAACGAATACTAACAGATTTTTTTGTCATAATACTAGACATTACCTATGTAAACAGTACAATCCCATGCTAACAAAAGGTTCCTGCTTTCTCTCCACAAGGAGTATCTCCGGTAGATCCCGAAACACAAATCTGTGTTCTGCTACAATCATTTAAATGTGAGGGGACAACAAGGTCTATAACGCACAAGCATTTTCCTCAGTTGCAAGAACTACTTCGATGTAGGGTTTGTTTGTTTTCACTAATACGGCAAGTCCTTGAATTCAACTGCAAAGCAATTACAACAGTCTCAAATCTAAGTTAAGAAAGCGTCCAGTGTCAACCCTTGAAACAGGGCAAGATAGCACTGAGAAGAGCATATTGCATCCCACTGCTGCCTCTGAGCTAAAGATCACAAACTCTGTATCTCCTCACCTTCACAGCTTTCCTTATGGAACTGTAGCTTTACAATCCTGGGACAAATGGATATTTGTCAGACTCACTGCAAGACATTCATTGCCATGACACAGGCAGGACAGCAGTATTTGGAATAGGATGCAGCAGAATAACTAATACCCAATTTTCAGAAACGTCAAGTAGGTACGGTTTCTTTGACCTCCATACAGTTTTGGATGCTCAACACCTGAAAACCAGACCACAAGAGGAACTCGGAAAACAAAATCAGACAACCACTTTATCTTGCTCCCACTTAGCCACACCCTTTTTGGGTCTAGAAGTTCTAGCATTATACTCTTAATTGGCATCATACTCATATTCCCATCTGAGATTTAAAGGAAGTGTGTGTGTGTGTGTACACCAGTGCTAAACAGGAGGATGTAGCACCAGGAAACTGATAATCAAAACTTTTTTTCTTTTGTAATGTATTTTAGTTTGTCATCAGGACTTGATTTTGAACAAGTTTCAGAGTTGTAAATCCTTGCTTTATTCTACTTACTTCATCCTTTCAAGCGCTCCAGCAGAAGAGGAGGAAAGTTGTTGTGAAGCAGGATAATTAGGGACTTACACTGTAATTGTTAAAAGCACTGAGCACAAAGGCAATACTAAGACAAACTGCCTGAAGCTTTTTTGGCCGTGGGAAGTGGCGTTACCAAGGTAATCACTTTCAAACTGTCCAACAAGACTGCTGGAGAACTCTGTACTGAGAGGGATGTGCAAGCCAAAGCGTACTTCCTGAAAAAGAGAACACGGGCATTCACTGATGATTTGTAGGACTTCCATGTTTTGTCTTAAATACATATTTCTAGCTTGCTGAAAATTGGAAAGCTGATCTCATTGTGAACATTTAAGATCCTTCCCTGTCACATCCTGAATCTTGCAATTGATTTGAAAATCAGATGGGGGTAAAGGAAAGTAACTTGAGAATCACTGAGATGCTAACCAAATTAGACAGAGACAGGTTGGGTATGGCCTATATATAAATGCTCAGGGGTGAAAGTGCAAGGAACCACACTTTGCCCACACTGCAGATAAATAAATTTGCAGTACTCATGCTTTCCTGTAGCAGCCCCTTAGGTGCCAGTGCTATTGTTGTGTGCCCTGCAGGAATGCAGCCCATCACTCAGCTGCACTGCCCCTCCATGTGACAAGGATGGGAGCCTGACAGCTACTGCACTTAACTCTTGAGGTCTGCACAGAGGCTGTGTTTTTAATTCTGGAGATCCACAGCGAAGTGTCTGGTCTTCACCAAGATAGCAGTTGTTACACTAATCTGAGGCCTCACTGTGCTCATTGCTGCATGAACAAGTCACGGTAGAGCCAACTCCTGCCCCACACTACTAGCTGTTAGATTATCCTGCTATGGAAAGTGGACAAAACCACACACATTGTTTGCAGATGGAAGCAGGTGACATGAAAGGAAGGGTGACAGCAACAACAAAAGGGCAGACACAGGTTTCCTGACCAGTGGCAAAAGAAGAGGGGCACAGTGTTGCAGCAGCAGCCCTGTGCTTTTCACGTGGTGGCATGGCATGACCCCTGCCTGCTTGGTGATGTGCATCTGAACACTGCAAGGGGGACACCAGAGCCTGGAAATGACTTTGCTGCTCTAGCATCCTGATGACGCAGCTTCCCCAGAAGGAGCAGGAAAGGTTTTCAGCACACAGTGTTAATGTGCCTTCTCTTTGCTTGCTGTGTGTTCCACTTTCAGATAACTATCACACTCATTACCCCAAGGTATGAAAACAAACAAACAAAAAACCCGCAGAGAGAAGATGCAGTCTCATTTTAGAGGATGTTTAGATTTGTCCATTTTATGTGAATCAAGCCATGCCACAAAATTATCCAGGAGCCACTTAAAAGGTTTTCAGTTCATTAACAAAAGTTGTCAGAGATTTCATTTACACAGGGCCTATGGATACAGTTACATAAAGGTGGAAGGATCTCCAACATTTGTCCTCCTAATGCCCTGTATTCAAAGCTAGAAGTTGCTGTCTTTATGTACATGATTTTAACTGTATTTCTATGCTGGGGCTGCACAAGACATTTGTCACAGTATGTATTTTCTCAAGCCTATGTATCCTAGCCTCAAGTTATAAATCAACCCTTTACCTCAACGCTAGAAAGTATCTAGTAAACAGCTTCTCAGAATTTTCTCATCATAACCAAATGTGAACCCCCGTGAAAGGAGGGAAGTGCATTTTAGAGCTAAGAAGCCTTTGTTAAGAAAATAAAAGTTGCCATGACCTGTTGTCCTGGTTTTGGCTGGGATAGAGTTAATTTTCTTCCTAGTAGGTGGTATAGTGCTGTGTTTTGGATTTAGCACAAGAATAATGTGATAACACACTAATGTTTTAGTTGTTGCTAAGCAGTGGTTATACTAAGTCAAGGACTTTTCAGCTTGCCATGCTCTGCCAGTGAGGAGGTGCACAAGAAGCTGGGAGGGGGCACAGCCAGGACAGCTGACCCAAACTGGCCAAAGGGACATTCCATACCATATGATGTCACGCTCAGTATATAAGCTGGGGGAGTCAGCCGGGGGGCAGTGATTGCTGCTCAGGGACTGGCTGGGAGGCGGGCAGTGGGTGGTGAGCAGTTGCATCACTGCCCCCCCCCCGGTTTTGTTCCTCTCCCTCCCTCTTTCTCCCCCCTCATTGTTTTACTTTCCATTACTTCCCCATCCCACCATGGGGGGGAGGGTGAGCGAGCGGCTGTGTGGTGCTTAGTTGCCAACTGGGGTTAAACCATGACACCTGTCTCTTCCTAAATATATACAGCTGTGAATTCAGCACCTCAAATTATCTTACCTGCCACTATATCCAATTCTGCATCAAGGGATACTCCTGCACTGCCAGCATTTTTTTTTTCCACTTCCATTCTTTAGAAGTTTACATTTTAAAAAAACTCTCTAGAATGTGATCAAGTCTTAAAGGTATTTAAAAGATACTTGAATGTCTTCTCTTCCCACCTTTAAAATTCTTTGGGTTGTTTTTTTTTTTGGGGGGGGGATGGTGGTTGCTTTTTTTTTTTAGTAGGAATGAGTATTGAATAGTTCTTTTTCATACTTTGAGGGCCCAACTTGATCAAGATTTCAAGCACAGCAGAGACAAGACAGACTAAAATTGTAAGCAGTCTTCATTCCTTATTGACATCTTTCTTGAAAAATGGTAATCCTTTAACCTTGCAACATCATTTCTCAGGGGGCTGATTAAATGAAAAGTCTGTTTTGGTCAATGGTAATTATAGCTGCATACCTCAAGGTAACCTTTAGTATGTACATTCTGTCTTGCACACAATGCCAATTAAATGGTTGACTGTCATTCCTTAGGTTCATCTAAAAGTACATTCTCTTGGAAGATAAAATATTGCCAATACAATTTACAGTATGTCTCTTCAAACTGCAATACCCAACTAAGATTTATTTCTTTCAGGTCAAGAGAGGTTGAAAGAAAAAAAATTTACAAATTAAGTTTAGAATACCTTTAAAATAGAGGAAACACAGGTTTAAGACATAGGGTGTTTTGGGTTTCTTTCCCTTCCCTTCATAGAGGGGTTGTTTGGGTTAGAGTGGTTTGGGTTTTTTGTTTGTTGGGGGGGGGCTGGGTGGGTTTGGTTTAGTTTGTTTGTTTTTAGTTTCCTGTCATTTATCTCTCTTTCTGTGTAGCTAGCTCTTCCCCTGTTGCTCTTGTGCTAAGCTAAATCTCTCTGAGGTTCAGAAAAGCACTGATCTTTCAAATACACAGGATAAATAGTATCTCAGGCCATATACTGTCCCTTTATCTTGTCATCAGTGTTGTTAAATACATTAACAACATTTTAGGAAAAACTAATTTGCAAATTTGTGCCAGAGAAAAATTGAAGAACCTACTTATGCAAGGAAGTTGCTGAAGAGTAACCCAGGGCATCAGCTCACAGAGCATCAGTTTACTGACCTCTGCCTTCCCACACAGGAAAGCCTAGAAAGTTTGCTTTGTTCTTCCCTATTAGTTTTACATCAGTGAAGTAGTGGAAGTTGATATCGCATTTCTTCCAGCTGTTTCTAAAACGAAATCAAAGTGAGGCCCACAGTTTTCCTAACAGTTTCACTTGACAGTGATTTGAGTACCAATTCCAATTTCTCATTGAAAGTGTTTGTTCTTTACTATTTAACAACATAATTCTTCAAAGATAAAGCAGATTTTAAATAGTTTGTAGTTAATTTTGTTAGGCTCTGCTTGACTGTTAGAGATTTTAATACCATTACTTTTCTACTCCATTCCCCCCTATGCACAAAGAAATATAGTACTTTACAAAAGACAAACTTGTAAGTCAAGACAGGAGCCAGAGCAAAAGGAGCATCATTTCAGAGCACAGCCCTTCTTTCGATCTCTCATCACAAACATCAAATACATTTGTCAGTCTCATATGGATTTTCTGTTGCTTTCAGTTAAATTTGTTCCTGCTGGCCTAACATAAAAAAATCATTTCCACATCCTCCCTAGTAATGTCCTTTACCTAGCTGTTTTTCTGTTACTGTTTCCAATTAGGATAATTACATAGCATGACTTTTGTCAGCCTAGATCAGCTTCCGTCCAGAATACCTTCATTCATATTCTTTTACCTCCACTCATTACTATACCCTTATGTTTTAAGAATTTTTAAACCTATTAAGTAGCACAATATCACATAACCCTGTTTTGGGGGATCATGACTTAGTGAACGAGAAATTTGTTAATGAAATTTATGGTGGTGATTAAAAACAACAGTGTAAAACCTCAAAAAGATTTAAGAAGCAAATACAGAAGACCTAACAATGAGATTAATGGGTATTTGACTGTACAATGCTGTTAGCCAAATGTGAGCATGATTATGAACATGAAGTTATCTTTTCTATTGTTGAAAAAAAAATGCTACAGTGTCTTAAATTCAAGGTTATGGTTTCTTCTTAACCCCCACCCCCCAAACCCCATCTTCAATGCCTCAGCCCATTTATTTATTATTAACACAGAAAACAGTATTATCAAGTGAATCTCCAAAACTTCCTGAAGTGCAGAGACGACCACACACTACACATACTGTTTGTCTTTTGTTCATTTGTCTTAGGGAAAGACCAGACACTCGCTCATGGTGGATGTAAGTATGGAGCAGTTCATCACCAAATAATGGGAGGGCATTTTCTGTTCACTTTTACTCTAATACAATCCATTGATTTCTATTGATTTCATCTCTTTGCTAAATGAATTTGAAAATTTCAATGTAAAGATTCTGCTAAACAAACAAGTCTTTGTTTTGCTACATGCTGGTTTTTTCCAATAAAATAACGGGTAAACATAGGCAACTATAGCACTTGTAAATTCAGACTTTTGTTTTCCATCATATGGCATTTTTCAAAGACTCTCTAAGCTTGACTGTGAAAGATACAGCCATATTTATAGAAGTGCTATAGGTATCAAAGATACAGTCTTTCCACTGTAAAAATATTTGAGCCCCATCATTAACCAGTGTATCCTACTGTTGAAGATTATCATAAGTGTTTATTGAATCTTTCCATATTTTGTGTTTGATAATGAATAAGCGACTGTAAGAACATTTTGATTAATCTTTATGTTAGCATTATGTAGGGGTTGCCGTGTTATTCACTGGACCATGTTAGCCTTAGTCTTAATTCTCTAGACCGTAACCAGACCACTTAGGCCTTACTGTATATGGGATGAGTTATTTGACAACTTGACAAGGTAGAT